CAGCACAGTCAAGACATACAAAATGGCATTAGTTACAGCTACAGGATGGTCTGTATCAATTATTTTCTGTTTCTTTTTTTTCAATTCTGCCTCCATCCAGCTATTTGCTAAAGAACAAACCTTGTAATACTGGAGGAAACATTGTTTGAGGCAAATATGTGCTGCCTCCACACACAGTCAGGCCTTAGGTATATGCTTACCTAGAATGCAAGATCTGCAATTCCAAAATGTATCCTGATTTTGCATCCTACAGTGATTTTGTAGCCAGACCATCTGACTGGCATTAATGTACAGATGCAAATCTGAAAGGCGATATCAAACAGATTCTAAGTATCATGCAGAGAAAACAAATTTAATTGAGCTGTACTTTGAAAACTGTTCACTTTCTCCCATTACTCTCCTCTCTAAGTCTGTGAATCTTTACTATAAAGAAAACGCCATCAGCCAAAAATGCTCTATAAAAACTGCAACACTGTCACATTTAATTCTTTAAAAGGCAAACTGGCTGGAAAGACTTTAAATAAAACTGACAATGATGGGAAGTATGACAGAAGATAGAATGTTGCCTGAAACCCTAGGTTAATAAAATATAACACTAGTCTAATGGAGAAATTGTTGGTGTCTGTGGTCCTACAGTCAAATAAGATTAAAAGAAGAATATATTTACATGAGGGTTGCATAGGTTAAGAGAAATTTGCCTGTAGGCTCTTCAGAATATTTTTCTATCAACAATCATCAAAACAAAACTCTGAAATGTTTTCCTGTTTCTTGAATAGTGGAATTTTTACATTTATAGCTGACATTTGGAAGAGTTAACTTTTACTTCATGAGGTTGCTATTGCCTGTTGTATCCTACTTTATGTTAGGAGGTCTCTTTCTAATACTGTTTGGGTTGTGTTTAAAAAAAAACATTGACACCTTGATCTTAATAGCTAATCTTCTGCCATCACCCTGTTATCTAACTGTTTGGGGACCCTCTTCCTTTGATAATACTGCCAAAGAGCAAATACCACCTACCTGAGCTGTTGCTGTGATGCTACCCAAATGGTCATTCATTTGCAAAGGTTCAACCTCCCAGTCTATTCCCACTGATTCCTTCTCCATCTACTACTAACACATTCAACCACACTATTTTAGCTCTGTCACATTCAGGGCAAACAGGGAGTAATCACTTAATTCCTTTATAAAACAAATGCAGGAATTTTGGCTCATCTCCTTTTAAAAAATTGAGAGTCAAGTGCACGTTATTTGTACAGCTATAGTTTTAACCTTTTAAGAATGATGCCACCTGTGTTACTAATTGTTCTTTGACATATGCTTTGTATGCCAGAACAAATTTAATTTGATAATTTAATTAATTTAATTTAATTCTTTAATTAATTTAATTTAATTCTTTAATTAATTTAATTTAACAGAAAACTCGCTGAAAACCAAACATGCATTCTTCTCAAAACTTTGGTCAAACCATCTAACTAAGTCTAAGGTACTTTCATGAAGTTGATTCCCTTCCTAACAGTTCTATTCTGCACTATGGGTATAGCCCTACCATCAAGTAAAGCAAATACCTGATACAGATTTTGGAAAGCACAGGCTGCCTCAAACAATTCTCTGAAGCTCATGGCAAAGCTAGATATTTTCAGGCAAGAATGGATTTTATTTTTAAAAGGCAGATGGAAATGGACAGTTTGGACTAGTTGTAGGAACCTTTCCTGCCATGTGTCCACATTGAATTTACTGTCCAGCCTGGTAGTGTGGCCTGAAATCCAGCTGATCGTGTGATGACCTAAATCAAATCTCCCACAGATATTTTGATAAAGCTTCATCTACTAAAAATCTCATTAGGGAAGGTAAGTGTTGCAGTGACCAGAAACCACAGGTCCTGGGACAGAGCAACCGTGGGTGTATATACAGACTGGGGAACAAGAGGCTGAAAAGCTGCCCTGCAGAAAGAGATTCTGGGGTCCAGGTCAGTGGGAAGTTGAATATGAGTCAGCAGTGCCCTGGCAGCCAGGGGGGCCAACTGTGTCCTGGGGGGGCATCAGGCAAAGCATCACCATCTGGTTGAGGGAGGGGATTGTCCCGCTCTGCTCTGCACTGGTGCTGCCTCACCTTGAATATTGTGGCAGTTTTGGTCGCAGCAATGTAAGAAAGATATTAAGCTCTTAGAGAGTGTCCAAAGGAGGGCAACAAAGATGGTGAAGGGCCTTGAGGGGAAGCTGTGTGAGGAGCAGCTGAGGTCACTGGGTCTGTTCAGCCTGGAGAAGAGGAGACTGAGAGGAGGGGTAGGGGCAGGCACTGATCTCTTCTCTCTGGTAACCAGTGACAGGACCCAAGGGAGTGGCATGAAGATGTGTCAGAAGGTGTTTAGACTGGATATTAGAGAAAGGCTCTTCACCTAGAGGGTGGTTGGGCACTGGAACAGGCTCCCCAGGGAAGTGGTCATGGTGCCAATCCTCACAGAGTTCAAGAAGTGCTTGGGCAATGCTCTCAGGCACATGGAGGGATTCTTGCAGTGATCCTGTGCAGGGCCAGGAGTTGGACTCAGTGATCCTTGTGGGTCCCTTCCAGTTTAGGATATTCTATAATTCTATGAGATATATGCATAATGTTCTAACCTCATGAGGTAATCTTCCATATAATTGCATTATGGTACTGCTTTAATAATCATTAAGGTAAGTCTAATACTTTTTACCTATTTTATGTGTTGGTAGGTTTATTTAATACTTGTAAAGTGCTTTGAGATGCCCCAAAGGAAAGAACTCAAGAAAAACTTCTTTATTATTCTCTTCTAGAAGTATAAAAAGGTAAGGCTATCCATGAGCCTGCAGTACAGCAGGAGACACCATCAGTATGCACAGCCCACTGAGTAGGGAAGAGTTACACAGAGCTGGTTTGAGTATTGACTCACTTCTGAGAATTGAAGTGGTGCTTAGCACCTGAAGTTTATGGTCAAGAGTTAAAAAAAAAAAAAACAAAAATATATCAACATACAGCTAGTCCTTTACATTTAAAGTTTTGATCTCAAGAAAATTAAAAAGAGAGCTTGATCATTAGAAGGTACCTTTAGATGGCATTGGGTTCATAGAAGTATCCTCTGATTTTAGAAGGGATCTACAGAAAGCTCAGAAATTTTGAGACTAAGAAAAGTTTAACTATCAGATAAGGACAGTAAATAGGTACTATTTACTCTTTTTTTTCTGAAAGTCTCAACTTAGATTTTTCTAAGTATGAAATCATCTGATTGGTTAGATGTCAGTTGAGTAGAATTCCACTTTACTTATATTATTTAGTCATTGAATCACTACAAGGTGCCTTAACTGAATGAATTACATAAACCTATTGCAGTATCCTTGCTTTCCCTATTCCCATGCTGTAATTACTTCATGTAGCCTTTCTAAAAGCACACTAATCTCTTCAGAGCAGAAACTCATTTCTTAATGAAAACTGTAGAAATACATTGAGTGCTGCAGAAATAGCAAAATAACAGGACTTCTTTTCCCAATTATTTGCAATATGTTGCTTAATATTAATATATTTTTAATAATATAATATATTAATAATAGTTGCATTATGTAGAAAATGCCCTATCCAACAGCAACCCAATACCTGTCAGAAAAATTAGCAATTTCACCAGTTCTTTTCAGCTTGACAGTCCCAAATCTCACAGGGGTTGTCATCAAGGTTATGAAGCTGCTTTTGCCACATAACACTGACATCCAGGTTGATGGCTGCATGATTTGTAAGCCTTTTTCTAAAAAGACAAAATAAAATAAAATCGTATGCAACTAAATATGTCTGATCCACTCAATTAGTAGAGGGTTTTTTTTAAAAAAGCATCTTATACCTCTTTATCTAGTGGCCAGTTTAGTCCTTTGGTGCAAGCAGCAGTATGCATCATATCTCATCTCCACAAACCCTGCTACAAACTTGCTTATCTCAGCTCTGGAACTAAGGTTCTCATTCATTTTTCTGTCTGGTCCTCCCTGGATTTTAAGTCAGGATGCACCTCTAGTCTCTCCTTTGATTGCACACCACTGTCCTTCCATTCCTGTTCTATCTTTCCAGCTTTCTCCCCCCATTAAATGTTCCAATACAACATGGGTTTTACTCATGTATTATGGTGAATAATACAGGCCCAGATGCCTCATGCAGGAACATGTGTAAATAAGTGCAAATAGAGAATTAGTGTGTTTGAGACAGGTACAACTGTCTGTTTTGCCTGCAGGAGCCAGTGTCTGGACACTGTGCCATCCATTCTTCTGTGCTCTGAAAGCAATGAACGAGTTAAAATAAACAATGAATGATTTTACACAGAAACCACCAGGAATGCATATTCCTACTGGTTTGTCTTTTTGGCTACATTTGCCTTTTGAGAATACCAGTTGGGAAAATTGTTTAGAACTCAGACACAGTGAACAATAAAAGTGCTCTAAACCAAGCTGCTAGAAAAGTCAGTGTGTAGATGGAACACGTTACAGCTGCGTCAAGAAAAAGCTGTGTAGCTCAGCAAAACAGAAACTTAGGAGGGTTCCGGAGCTGAGATCTAGTAGACATTTGGAATATAAAGGAAGTTTAATCCCTGAGTAAACAGACAACTTCAAGGATCAAGGGGCAGATTCTTCATAGCTATCCCTTTTTAGAAAGGGAAACACCGACCTTTCTGAAAAAGACTTTGCATTCTTATCTCACGGTTGTAAAAATCCTTCCAAAATCCGAAGTGAGACCTAGTAGCATTGTAACTGCAACTGGAATAATTCAGAGATTCAGATTTAGAGAAACAAATACGGTAGAAAATCTTCAGCTAACTGAAGACTGACAGAAAAAAAAACCAGTAAAAAAATCCAACTCTGTTTCTCATGTGAATGCCATCCAGCTTGCTTTTTCTCCCTCTCTCTGTCCCCAAAGAGCAAAAACCTACTGTATAATGCCTTCTGAAGGCTGTCTGCCTGCTATCCTCACTGCCCACCTACCGTAGGGAGCAGCTCCTCCCACCTGCACATAAAAGCCAAGTGCATGCTACCAGCAGCAGATCAGAGCACTTTCTCAGTCCTCCAGTGTTTTGAACCAGTGATCTTCTCTTCTTGGATCTTGTATACTCAAGGTAAGACTACTGCTACTTCAGGTTTCTGTTCTAACCAGCTATTGTGAGGAAATCTTAATGTGAACTCTAGCACTGCCTTGCTGGGTGGTGCTGGCTCCCCACCCCCCCTTTTTTTTCAGATGTAGTGTCATCTGACATTTAAGTTAGTAACAGTCTGTTGTTTTAGCAATGAAATAAAAGCAGATCTTGCTGGGAAACACTGTGGCTGAGAAATGGTCTTCTTTCCTTTTCTGATTGATTTTGAAGAGGTTAGTATACCCAGACCAATTATAACAATTTATTATCCCTCTTAATAGTTCCCCTCTCACTCCAGTCAAAGTTATCAAAAAAAGTTCACTGCAAAGCTTCCTTAAATTCTGTTTGAGGAAAAAAAAAAAGCTTAGTGCTAATTTAAGGAAGGGATTGGTTTTTGTTGCTAATATCATTTACTAGCCAGATTGAGACAACCTTGAGACTGAAGTGCATCTTCACGTGTTTCACTGCCTTTAAAAAAAGTGTGATGGAACTTAAGCCCGCACAGAAGCACAGGAATAAGGCTGATGTAATTCATCATCTGGTACCAAATATGCTTAAAGTACATATTTTACCAACAAAGTTCTGTTTCTTGGAACAACAGACCTTGTGTCTCTATGAAATTTTTCGATCAGCTTGTTTATATTTTACCTACAGTTTGCCTACATGGGCATTTCTAATGCTAGAGGACAGAGACAGTTACTGAACAGTTAAAACTTTAAAAAGTAAGTAGTTTCAAAATTATATTTGCACTCCCATCCATGCATCTATCCATCCACACTGAGATGAATCTATTAGTGACCAGTACCAATTTGTCATGTTGTGTAAGTCAGTGCACTTTTAACACACAGTCACCTGTTTAAAGAAATTCCATCATAGAAATCCTAATCCTAGAATGCCTCTCTCCAGTGCTCAGAGAGGAGGGAAAGCATGAACTGCCAAAAGCAAGCAGCTAATGCTGTCTGTAAATATGCAATACATTCTGCAGTAAAGAATGATTTAATACCCAATTCTCTTTATAAATTGACTCTTTTTTGATCTTTCCACAAATAAAAAGCCTTCTCTAAGAAAGAATTATATCCACATATAGCTGTACTCATATTAGCTGCAATATTTTAAGCTGTAGCACTGTATAACAACAGCAGAACTCTGCTCAGTGCCCTTTTCTTCATACTGTATCTAAGATTTTTTCTGCATTTTATATCTTATCTATTCTAACTAATGGGGAAAAGAAAATACTGCCTTCAGCTACTTGCCTGGAAGATTACATAAGTATCTTTAAACAAACCCAAACAAATGACAAAAATCCAAAACCCAAACAAATTTAACTATTCAAAAAACAAAGTGCAGTACTTTCTGCAGCAGACTTAGAGCAAAACTATTTCTGCATCCAGGAGTTCATATAAATTGCCCACAGAAAACAGGAATAGAGCCCAGTTGTTTTCCTCATGACTGGCCACAAAATTTTATTCTTTAGTTAACATCTGATTTTTATAGCAAACCTCCCTTTCCCTTCCAAAAACACCCCTGTTGCAAAACACAATATGTGATTTTATGTGTAATGCATACAGAATTTAGGTCTACAATCTGGCAGTTAAGCCTCATTTGTTCACACAGAATTTTACTCTATCAGATAAATCAAAAATTTTAACAGAGCAATGTTCATGGAAAAAAAAATGCATTTGCCACAGGAAATGTGTTTATAGCAAAATACTTTTTATTAAAGCTTGCTGTGAAATGTAATGTTTTGGCATTTGAAAAATGGATTGCAGGACATATTAAGAAAACTCTTTTCAAAGGAATGCATCTAATTAAGATCAGAATCTCCTCTGAGCAGTTTCTCTTTTAAGCTGAGTAGATAATTCAGCTTAGCATCACTCTGCAGCAGGGGATGAAGGGAAACTACAGCCAGAAGATCTCCAAGAGAACTGAGATATCTAGGAATGCATTTATTGACCTTTGTGCTGATCTGAATTTCCTTTTTACAAGATTAAAGTGTAGTGATATTAAAATGAAAAATAAAAGTACTGTAATTTTAAAATAATGCTACAACCACAATAATTTTTAAAACTGAATCAGTGGTAGAACAAGGAATTCAGATTTTTTTGAGTAATTATCATAGAATTTTAAATAATAAAGTCAAGGTAAAGAGACATCAGTTTTTTCAGCCAGTTAAGCTGAGCAGGGATGCTCAGCTATTTCTCCTTGTAGTTATGCTTAGGTTTTTTAGGTGTTTATTTAGGGTACTAATATCCACTTAAGCCACCAGCTTCCAGTGCTGCCTAGAGTGTTAGACTAGACACCTAGAAACACAGGATAAACATATCACTGTCTGCTATCTATGCATAGTTCTGCCACCACCACTGCTTGTGAAACATTCTTACCTTCATGAATTTATTTTCATACAACTCTCTATAGGGAGAGATTATGTTTTCCTCTGGCCATGCTGCCACTAAATATATGAACTCTTTTGCTTATGGTTACAGTGAAAATTCATGGTAGAGTGTCAGATTTAGCTCTTCTGGGTTCCAGGCCAGCACTTTAATTTCACAATTCATTTTGTATTCAGCCTTATAAAGTCCACCCCTTTGTAGCTGATCTGTCTTTGCATGACTCTTTAGGGCTGAACAGCAAGGAGAATTCCAGTGACAAATCTTGAGAGAGGTAATTTACTCCTAACACTTTCAAACTTCCTGGGAAACCCTTTACAAACCCCTTAACGGGATTTACAAATAAACCCTTCTTGGAGAGGGTAAATAAACAAATAACCAAATGCCCAGCTCTTTCTTACACTCTGTGGTGAAAGGAGACCAACCTACTCTTGGAAGGATGTGGAAGCAGAGATCTACTGCCATGGACTAGAAATGATGGGCAACAACTAAAAGAACTCAGTCTTGGTAACTCGGTAGCAGTAAGAGCTCAAAGAGAAGCTTAACATGATGCTTAAGCAAAATTATTCAAAGGATCTTGTAGGGGGCGTAGACTATAGTCTCCCTTTCTTTTCTACAATTGCAATCATGTGCCACTTCTATAAACGTATAGGATATAATTTCACACCCATTAAAACAAACAAACAAAAACCCAACCACCAGCTTTGCCCTATCCCTTCAGTTTTTAACTCTAGAGTTAATTTATGAGGGTACAGGCTCGTAATTGATCCCGTGGCCTTGCAAATACTTCATTTTCAAGGAAACAAACAAGCAAACAAAAAAACCCCAGCACATTCTGATGCTCAGTTTCTAGAGTTACTGCTGTATGGATGGAGGCCTTGTCTCTTATTCTTTCAAATTAAAAACTATTGCTAAGCAAGCATTGGTCATAGATAAGGTAGCAAACATGTGAGAGGTAACTGGAGGACTAGAAAAAGAACCATTGTCATCTCACTACCTACTGTAGAAGATAGGACAATTTTCTTATATCCCTGAGCATAACTACATGCCAGAATTTTCTGCTCACTTATTCTATGTCTTGCTATCTATCTCATGGGAGGTAAGATTAAGTTCTATCTCTTAAGCTTAAATATATCCCTATATTTTCCCTTACTTTTTTGGCCTTCCAATTATTCTAAGATGGGAGTTTTTTCCTTCCACAGGGATATAATTTACAATTTTCACTATTGTCATATTTCTAAAAGAGCAATGGTTCAATGGAGGTACTGTAGCGAGAAACAAGAGAAGACAAAAACATCAGAGGTTGCTTGTTCTGTCTCATAAAAAAACAACAAACAGCTGCATTTAACTGTACAAAAGTTCTCATTTTTGCCACTTACACTTCCTAGAGTTTTGTGTGTTTTTTCCTTTTTTGTGGCTTTCCCTCCAGAAAGTAAGATCTATTCTTTATGCTAACAGAATTCCCCTCCATCAAAAGTTGTGGAGCCATATATGTTCAAAAAGATAATCTAAGTCCTGGTTCTGAAGCCTTTTGTAGGTCTTGTGCAATAACTGTGGCTAGTCTCTGTAGTCATCAGTAAACAATTGTGCTTGTTCTCCCTGTACTCCTGAAATGTTGGAAGTGTTTCTGTAATTGTCTTGATGTGTAATGAATTTAATGTCTCATAATTGCACTGCAGGGGATTAATACCACTGTGCAGCCTAGGGACATCTTTTGGTGATTAAAACTTCTCCATTCAAGTCCATATTTTATAGCAAAAACAAGATGAATATAAGTCTGTTGCTTCTTGAACGGCAGGTGAAACTGTTGAGGGGTGACATGAAATGGACCCTCTTCAAAAGGGAGTGAAAATCAGTGCCCTCTCTTGGTTAGAAAAAAATACACAGAGCAGCCTTACGAGAGTGTTTATCAGTTCCCTCTGCTGGCTACAAAGCCCACGGCCAGATGAGCAGCTGTGTTTGCGGAGGCGAAGGTCTGAAGTTCTATTCCCAGTGCTGTGTGCCTGCGGTAAACTGATGACTATGGTGTCTGTGCACGTATGTGGACATCATTCTTTGTAGGGGCTCATCAACAACTACACTGAGTTCAATATGAGGGCACTCAAAAATAATATGGGCTTCCTGGTAGGTAAGAAACTTTCCACTTAGGATCTGAGAAGTGTGCTAGCAGCTATGCCATTCATAATACTGCACAGCCAGAGCATCCTTCTGTTGTGCACCATATGCACACCTTGCTTTTTACACCTCCTCAAGAAAAATGTGTGTGTTTGTTACACTCAGTTTAGAGACATCTGGGCAGTTATCACATATATTTTGGCAGTCCTGAATTGTAACCCTTCAGAATGTCAGCTTCTGAGAACTCATAATACATTTGCAAGTAAGAAATAAAAGGTACCAAAAAGAACACTCCAACCTTAAAAAAAAAACAACAAAAAGCAAAAAAACCCTCAACAAAACAAACAACAGAAAAAACCTCACCACAAACCAAACCAAAACAGAAAAAGAACCTAACTAGTTCTTTTCCATTCTTATAGGGAAATAACCTGGTTATACAACTACACAAACAGGTCATACAATTTACACAGCCACTTTGAAATA